TATTAGATGAGCAAAGAAGGAAGCAAATCACTTGGTGTGCACTGTAGTCAGTTATGCGGACCAACCAATGAAGCTCACCACACACCCAAGAGCCAGAAGATGTGGATAGCTGGTGATAGAGCCAAGAGTTAAATAATTTCCCCTTGTGTTTTTATTTTAATTTAATTTAATTTTGTTTGAAAGATGTATTTATTTGAAAGTCAGAGTGACAGAGAGAGGAGGAGAGAAGGGGAGAGGGAGGAAGAGAGAGAGAGAGCGAATCTTCCATCTGCTGGTTCACTCCCCAGATGGAAGCAATGGCCAGGGCTGGGCCAGGCTAAAGCCAGGATCTAGGAGCTTCTTCCAGATTGAAGGGACCCAAGCACTTGGACCATTTTCTACTACTTTACCTGCTATTTTTAAATATACCTGTATCTTTAAATACCTCCTGTATTTTTAAATATAGCTTTTTGTGCCTTTATTCTTGGAAAAGTATTTATATGGTCCACTTAACTATTTAGTTATGCAAATATAAAGTAAAAGATTATGAGAAATAAAGGCATCATATTTAAAGGCACCAGTGATTTGATAAGGAGCCAAAGCACTCCATGATAATGTCAGAAATTGTTTACATTATAGGTAGAGTTTGTTTCTTTAGGCCTTTTCTTCTTCAGCAAGTAAAATAAATATTGTTTCTTTTTAAAAAATCAATAATTATATTATTTGAAAGATAGAGACAGAAAAAGAGCAATTTCTTACTTGGTGGTTCACTCGCCAGATGCCTGCAACAGCTGGGGCTGAACAAGGCCAGGAACTCAATCTAGGTTTCCCACAGGGGTGGCAGGGAAGAGCAACTTCAGCCATCACCTGAGGCCTCCCAGAGTGCACATTAGCATGAAGCTGGAATCAAAGTCAGGACTCCAACGGAGGAATTCCATTATGGGATGTGGGCATCCCAAGCAACATATTTTAATTAATTTATTTATTTGAGAAGGCAGAATTACAGACATAGAACGGTACAGAGAGAGGTCTTCAATCTGCTGGCTGGTTCACTCCCCAAATGTCCACAACAGCTGGTTCTGGGCCATTCCGAAGCCAGGAGCCATGAGCTTCTTCTGGGTCTCCCACATGGGCGCAGGAGCCGAAGCACTTGGGCCACCTTCCACTGCTTTCCCAGGCCATTAGCAGACAGCTGGACTGGAGGTGGAGCAGCCAGGACTCGAACCGTCACCCATATGGGATGCCAGTGCTGCAGGCTGAGGCTTAACTTACTACGCCACAGAGCCTATCTCCCCAAGCAACATCTTAACCACTATGCAAAATACCTACCTCAGCAATGCTTATTTTCTAGGAATTAATTTAAGCTACAATATTCCTCCAAAGTGTTATATATATCTTGATCACACCATTGTTGAATGGTGAGGGGCTGAACTAGACTAAGTGCACTTAAATTCTTACTTTGTAATGGAAAGAATTATGCAAAGAAAAATTAGGCAGTATTGGATCATTTTAAACATGGAACAGACTGTTGATCTTCCACATAGTATTAAAACTCAGAAATTTGAATGTCACGGCAGGCATTGTGGGGCAATTTGTTATGCCGCCACTTGGGACGCCTGTGTTCCCTATCAGAGTGTCTGGAATCGAGTCCTTCCTCTACTTCCTATTCTGCCTCTTTATAATGCACCTGGGAGGCAGCAGATGGTGGTCCAAGTACTTGAGTCCCTGCTATTCACATGGGAGACCCAGATGGAGTTTCAGCCTGACCCCACCTTGGCTGCTGTGGACGAGAGTGAACCAGCAGATCAAAGATCTTTTCAATTGGTTATCTACCACATTCAAGTCCCCATCACTTTATAAATGTCTGCATTTGTTGTCAAGCTTTAATTGAACTATCAACTAATACTTTCTGTTGATGGGCCAGATTTTAAAAATGTCATTTTTTGACTGATTATGGAATTATTATTGTTGAAAATTGAGAAAAGATAAACTTAAGAAAAATTCTCCCAAAACTTACAATCTTGAAATAACTACCGTTCATATTTTGATACTTATCATCAGCCTTTATTTTCCTCTATGAACATATATAAAAAAGAATGTATGAAAGAATGCATATGCTTGTTTTTAAACACAACTTAGAACATTAGATGTATAAATCATGAAGTCCATGGAAAATGGAATTAAAAGGTTTTTTTAGTGTGAAATTTTTTTTTTGACAGGCAGAGTTAGACAGTGAGAGAGAGACAGAGACAGAGAGAAAGGTCTTCCTTCCATTGGTTCACCCCCCAAATGGCCACTATGGCCGGTGCACTGTGCCAATCCGAAGCCAGGAGCCAGGTGCTTCCTCCTGGTCTCCCATGCAGATGCAGGGCCCAAGCACTTGGGCCATCCTCCACTGCACTCCCGTGCCACAGCAGAGAGCTGGACTAGAAGAGGAGTAACCAGAACAGAACCCAGTGCCCCAACCAGGACTAGAACCCAGGGTGCCAGCGCTGCAGGCGGAGGATTAGCCTAGTGAGCCGCAGTACCAGCCAGTGTAAAATATTTTGAAATCCATGTACATGGGGATTCTTCTTAAAGTTTATAGAAAATATTACGAAAACAGATTTCAAAAAATGTTTTCCACCAAAATAAACTCATCTTTCATTTCATTTGTCATGAAATTTTATTTTATTTACCTGAGAGGCAGTGGGAGAGAGAGCAAGGGAGGGAGGGAGCATGGGAGAGAGATACTTTCCATCCACTGATTCACTCCTCAGATGGCTGCAAAAGCCACATCTGGGCCAGGCAAAGCCAGGAACATGAGTGGAAGGGGCCCAAGTAGCTGGACCATCCTCTGTTGCCTTCCCACATGCATTAGCAGGAGTTGGATTGGAGGCAAAGAAGAGACTCCAGCCAGCACTGAGACAGGATGCTGGTGTTAACAATAGGGGCTTATCGTGCTGAGCCACAGCTCTGCCTCTTCTCATGAACTTTCAGTATTCTCATATAATGCACACAATTTTCTATCATTGTTTTCACATATCACTAATCAAGTTATTTTACCTATGTTTTGTTTCTCATAAAAACATTTCTGATGGCTACATAGTGTTATAGTTTTATTTGTAAATCTTCATTAAACTGACAGGTGAACAATGACTTCTCATTGAACTTTAATTTGCATTGTTTTGCTTAATGGAGATTCTAAAGAATGCTGTGATCATTTGCATTGATTTTGAAGATCATTCACATACTTGAGAGCCCATGTTTACTTCTTAAAATAAACTTATTGCTTAATTTAATTTACTTTTAATAATGGTTAAGGATGTCTATAGGAAGAAGTGTTACAAGTCTATAGTTGTACTTTTTAATTGAATTTTGACATAACTGTGGTGTGACACATAGTTTTAAGAAGTAACATAGGAGCCAGCACTGTGGCATTAGCATCCCATACAGGCACTGGTTCCGGTTCCAGCCACGACGCTTTCACTCCAGCTCCCTGCTAATGTTCCTGGGAAAGCAGTGGAAGATGGCCAAAATGCTTGGGCCCCTGCACCTGTGTGGGAGACCTCGAGGAAGCTCCTGGCTCTTGGCTTTGGACCAACCCAGCTCCTTAGTTGCAATATGAAGACTAAAACCCCAGTCTCTCTAAATTTCAAGCAAGAAAGTGAATTGAAAGAGCATTTAATAAAAAAAATACAAGTTTTGCTAGCTTTAATTAAAACACGCTATATATATTGGGGACAGCACTGTGGCCTAGGTTAAGCCTCAGATGGCACTGCCAGCATCCCAATATGGGTGCTCCACTTCCAATCTAGCTCTCTGCTAATGTGCCTGGGAAAGTGCGAGGAGATGGCTCAAATGCTTGGGCCCCTGCACAGCATGTGGGAGACCCCAAAGAAGCTCCTGGTACTTAGATTCGGTTTGGCCCAGCTCCAGCAGTTGAGGCCATTTTGGGAACGCACCAGGAAGACCTCTCTCTATAACTCTTGCTCTCATATAAGTGAAAATTAAAAAAGAAAAAAAAGGCTATAAATTGACGTGTCTGGTTAGTCAGTAAGAGCATCCCATCTGTCCACTGGTCTTGGTGTTTACTAAGCCTCTCATTTTAACGGCTGACAAGAGTCCTAAAGTAAGACAAAACAGTATGCTTCTGGGTAGCTTTCTCTTTCCACCTACAACAGATATGAACAACATACTTGGCATTGTCAAGATCTCTGAAGAACCAAATCCTCTTGCTGACCTCCTATGGATGCCAACTTCCCCACCCGAAATTATCTGACTTTAAAGGTAATAAAATTTGGCCAGCGGGGCCCCGTTAACAATCTTCCCCAGAATGTTCACACGGAAAGAAAAAAATTCTTGTAACTTCAGTCCCCCGACTCTATTTCCCACTCGTACACACAGCACGGACAAATGCCCTTTCACACTCGGCGGCTCTCCGTGTGATGGGTCAAAGTTCGACGGCTAAGCCTCGACCAAACGACACGCTGCGCACTCGGGACCAGGAGGACAGGCACTTCACAGAGATAAGGAAATCTCCCAGTCAGGTCAAGGTCCACGCACACTCAAGAACCGAACACGTTCGGGAACTAACCCCTGCACCGGGAGCTGGCGGAAGTGACGTAAGAACTGGACGCCGGAGGAGGCGGTGCCGCCGAGGAGGCGCGCCCAATTGGGGCACCCGAGAAGCCGGGGGTGTGGCGCCGTCGGCGGCGAGCCGCGAGCCTGGGCGCCCGGGAAGGCGGGGCCTGGGCGCACCACTTGCCGAGACTGGCCTTCTCTGGCGGCTGGAGGCGGTCACTGCTGCTGTGCTGGGCGCTGAGGCTACAGGGGCCATGCGGACCTCGAAGGAGCCCGGAGCCCACAGCCCGGCGCTCCTCCCTCGCGCGGCGTCGACTTGGCGGCCCCTGGAGTAACCGCTGCCTTTGTTCCGAGCGCCTCGTCCCTCCTGTCGCCCCAGCCCTCCGGCCGCCGCGCTCCGGCCGGCCCGCGCTCGGTCCCCCGAACCCCCTTTCGGCTCGCGCCGCGCGGATGCGGCTGCCGGACCTGGGTTTGGGTTTTGAGCGGGAGGTGGTGGAGGAGCGGCGGCCCCTGGGCGGCATGCGATGGGGAACTGCTGCTGGACGCAGTGCTTCGGGCTGCTCCGCAAAGAAGCGGGGCGGCTGCAGCGTGTAGGAGGCGGCGGAGGGTAAGCCCGCGGTGGGAGGGCCCCAGTCCCCAGTGGCTCCTCCTCTTCGGCCTCTGGCTGGGAACCTTTCCACTGTCCCAGCGGCCAGGAGGGGACCAGTGCCTGGCAACCCACACAGCTCCGGCGGCGAGCGGGTGGCAGTCGTGGAGGCCCTGGTCTGGCCCGGGCGGGGCGGTCTCGGGCCTCGTCTGGAGAGAGCTAGGGGCGAGGGGGAGGCGGGTTAGACTCTTGTCGGGCGCCGAGTCACGCGCCCAGTCACGGGAGGCGTCATTGCAGGAAGCACCCCGCGCCCATGGTCAGTAGGACCTGCTCCACGACAACCTGGACACACCCAGCGCTGGGCTTGGGTTTAATGCCAAAGCTGGTATCTCTGTGATCCTCTGTTTAGCCTTAACAGTAGATGACTGGCTCCGAAAGTTGATGGTTTTAAAATAGAAGTCATTTAGATGTTGGAGTAAAAGATTCCGGACATGGATAAACTCTGAAAGGTGCAAAGGCTTGGCGAATTGCTAGATTTCCAATGACATTTAGAGTGTTGGTGCTGCTAACCAGGAGGACAGTGTATGCTTTCTTCATATTAATTTTTGGGGAATTCAAGAGGAATGCCATATCCTGACTGCTCTGCATATGCTCTGTGCCACTATGTAAATCGCAGCCCTTCTGGATCTCAACAAAACTGGCATATGCTTAGATTTTTCTATCCCCACCATACGCAAAATGATAAAATTTAATGATTACTTCAATTTTTTATTTCAAAGGGTATTGGAAAAAAAATAGGACAAACTCTTTTAGAGTTGGTTTTGTCGTTTGTTATAAGGAATGACTGTTCTGCACTCTGAAACAGATTTTTAAGTCTGCAGGATCTGTCCCATTTAGCTAAGAGTGTTAGGTAATAAAGTGTTGAGCATAAACAAACTGAAACCAAATGATTTATAATATGAATCTTTAGGTAACTCATTAATTCATCAGCTTTGTGTTACTTCTCTGATACAAAGTAGCTAATATTTTACACAAGTGTCAGAATGGTAGAGTAAGGATTTACATATTTTGTGGAAAATTTAATATTATGCTTTTTCCTTGACAGCTGTTTTTGTCCTATCAGCCAGAATCATCTAATTTATTTGTAAATTTTGTATGTGGATGCATCCATATACTTGCCTAAAGGACTAGATACTGGGCTTTATTATTATTTGTAGTTGTATAACAGGATGTTAAATTTTTAAAAAGTACTTATTGATTTGAAAGGCAGAGTCACAGAAAGAGAAGGAGAGACAGAGCGAGAAAGATATTTTCCATTCCCTGGCTCACTCCTCAAATGGCTGAAACTGCTGGGGCTGGGCCAGATGGAAACCAGGAGCCTGGAACTCCATCCAGGTCCACCCTTAAGCCCAGGTGCTTAAGCCATTTTCTGCTGCTTTCCCAGATACATTAACAGGCAGCAGGATTTGAAGTTGAGCAGCGGGGACATGAATCGGCACCCTTAATGATCTGCTGGTGTCACAGATGATGGCTTAACCTGTGCCACAAAGTTGTCCCCAGGATGCTATTAAACTCTCTTTAAAAGGACTCTTACATTCTAAATAGATCAGCAGAAAGTTACTTATATTTGACATTGGACGACGGAATGTGTTTTTTGTGGGATTTTTGTTTTCCACAGTGATTTTATAAACTAATTATGTTTTGAATTGTAGATTCTACTTCCTTGGACACATGGGTTTGGCAGCATACAGAAGTAGCAAGAAGTCAGTGAATCAGTTTGAATGTTACTTATCTGTAGATGCTCCCTCAAAACACAACAGCTGCATCTGCACCTTCTTGAACAGGCCTTTTGAGGCAATGACAGCTTGTGGGTTGTGGAGACTGTCATCTGAAACCAAATAATAGTGATACCAATCCTTTTTCTTTTAATTGATAAATACAGATTTTGTTAGTTCTATTACTTGAATCTTCTGATTAACAACAAAAATTACCAACTTTTAAGTGTATAAAATACTGGAGAGTTCAAGAATTTTATATTCTAGAATATCTGTTGACTAATCAAGATGTCCATAACAGAGTTGAGATTTGTTGGAAAACTCAGTACTGGTAAAGTTATTTGGTGATTAAAGCAGGGAAATTAAATATCTTTAAGTAGTAAACTTTATTAACATGCTAATGAGTCATCCTTCACAATGGAGATTTACTTGCCTGCACATTGTAGAGGGCTCCATCTACTGGTCAGTGTCTTACTGTTTCTCTGGACTGTACTGAAAGTCTTCTGTATCATATAGACTTATGACCCAATTCTTTTTTCTCAGAATGAAGACCCAATTACAATTGTATTTTAAAGATTTTATTAACTAAATAGAACTAGAGACAACTCCCATCCACTGATTGACTCCCAAAATGTCCATAATGGCTGGCGTCAGGCCAGGCAAAGCCAGGAGCTAGGAATACTATCCAGGTCTCCCACAGGGGTGACAGGAACCCCCTTGTTTGAACCATCCTTGCTGCCTTCCAGCGTCTGCATTGGCAGGAAGCTGGAGTCCTCCAATGTAGGATGCAGGTATTTCTCTCTCTCTCCTTCTCTCTCTCTCTCTAAGATTTATTTATTTATTTGAAAGGCAGAATTACAGAGAGAGAGATCATCCATTCACTGGTTCAATCCAGTGAATTGGCTGGGAAGACCAAAGCTTGGCCAGTCTGAAGCTGTTAGCTCCTTTCAGGTAGAAGCAGGGGCCAAAGTACTTGGACCATCTTCTGCTGCTTTCCCTGACACATTAGCAGGGAACTGGATCGGAAATGGAGCAGCTCGGACTTTAACCGGTGCCCAAATGGGATGGATGTCAGTGTTGCAGCCAGCGGCTCTACCTGCTATGTCAACGTGCAAGCCCCAAATGCAGGTGTCTTAGTTACTAAAAACTCACTCTCATTTTTTAATTTATTTAATGTATATTTCCATATAAGTGGTTCCAGCTAAGAATCTTGTAGTTTAAAATACATGTTGGCATTTTTGACTACAGCTGCTGAGTTGTCTTCATCCTATAGTTTGGAATGATTTGCTTTTCCTTTCTGAGTAAAAATGATTTTAGTAATAGATCCCGACAGTGACTTCCTATGTGTCAAGCACTGTTCTCCCACATGAGGATAGAGGTGCAAGCACTCAGGCCACCTTCCACTGCCTTTCCAGGCACATTAGCAGGGAGCTGGATTGGAAGTGTAGCAGCTGGTACTAACCAGAGCCAGTATGGGATGTTGGTTGCATGGGAGGCGCCCCCCCCCCCCCCCAAAATTTTTAACTTAGAGACACTCAGGACTTTGGAACATCACTCTATTCTTCCTAATATAATTTTCTTTCTTCATATACTTTTCCAGTTGATGGTGTGGAAATGTGTGGCTTGAGCCACACCTCTACACTAATGAACTCTGTGGTCTTTGCTTGAGCTCTTAAGTATCTAATTGCCCACTGAGTGTTTCCATTTGGGTATCAAACATACCCTTAAATTCATTTTGTAAAGCTGAACTCATTATTCTTACAGTCCTTTTTTTTCCTTTTGTTATATCACAATCATTGCTAGAACTGTATTTCCTCCTTGCGAGTGGTAAAATAATTTATAGTTTCTCCTAAGTTGTGAATTTGAGAGTCCTATTAAAATCCTCCTTGAAACCCAGATTGTCCTTTAGATTACACCTTCTGAACTCCCGCTACGTTTTTCTGATCTTCCTCTCTACCTTAGTACATCATTCTGTCTTTTAGTTACTCCTCTCTAATCCAAGAAGGAAGAAACACAAAGCCTTACCTCGATGCTTACATCTTCCTCCAGCTTTTAACCTATTCCTTATCTTTTCCTTTGTAACAATTTTTAATTGTCTAATCTTTTTTTTTAAAGATTTATTTATTTACTTGAAAGTCAGAGTTAGAGAGAGAAGGAGAGGCGGGGGTTGGGGGACCTCCATCCGCTGGTTTACTCCCCCAGAAGGCTGCATCTGCTGGAGCTTCTGGGTTTCCCACGTGGGTTCAGGGGCCCAAAGACTTGGGCCATCTTCTACTGCTTTCCCCGGCCGTAGCAGAGAGCTGGATCAGAAGTGGAGCAGCTGGGTCTCAAACTGGTGCCCACATGGGATGCCGGCACTGCAGGCGGCAGCTTTACCTGCTACACCACAGCTCCGGCCCCAATTGTCTAATCTTATCTGTTTTCTCACTGTCACTCTGGCTTGCAGATAATAGGTAATTTAACATTCACCTCTCCTCCTGCTCCTCCCCTTACTCTCTGTCCCCTGTACGTGTTTCTTTTTCTTCTCAGTCATTACTTGTTCGAGTCCTTCAATACATACTAGATTCTTCTCACATTATACTCTTTTTAAGGTGTGGCATATGTAGCCACTCACCTAGAAGGTGTGTTTGCCACTACTCCCCATCATCCTACATTTTCATTCTGTCTCCCAGACCAGATTAAAGACTGGAATCCTTCATGTGGCTTTCAAGGCCCTGCACGACCTCTTCCTTGCTTACTCCTTTCCTCCCCACCCCTAGACTGCATTGTGTTCTTCCTTGAATCCATTTCTTCTCTTTTTGTTAGATGACTTGAACTCACTTATCTTAGATACCAACTCATGAATTATTTCCCACAAAAGCTTCCCCACACCATTGTCGACCCTCCATGGGATAAGTCCTGACACCCTCATCAAACCATCTTCCTTTCTTCTGAGCACTGGTATTTCCTTCTAGGTTAGCACCTTCTAGGTGAGTGGCTACATATGCCACACCTTAAAAAGAGTAAAATGTGAGTAGAATCTAGTACATATTGAAGGACTTGAACAAGTAATGACTGAGAAGAAAAAGAAACACGTACAGGGGACAGAGAGTAAGGGGAGTAGCAGGAGGGGAGGTGAATGTTAAATTACCTATTATCTGTAAGCCAGAGTGACAGTTTTCTGTATTTAATGTGTCAGGGAGACTTGTCTCTTCCCTTCCAAAACATGAAATTAAAATTCTTAACAGGCATTCTTCTAAATTTTTCTTCATTAGGAAGGGTGTATATTGAAAAGTAAATGTTATTAATTTACAATTGCCACCTTTATCAGAGTTTTTCAGAGGAGCAGAGCCAACAGGAAATGTCTGTATATCTGTATCTACCTATATACCCACCTATATAAATGTAAAATAAACTTTATTCTAAGAAATTAGGACTTATTCAATTATGGAGGCTGAGAAACCTCATGATCTGCTGTCTGCAAACTGGGCCCCTAGGAAAGCCCGTAGGGTAAATCCTTGTCCATTGTTTCATCTCAGCTGTCAGGCAAAGAGAGAATTTACCCTTCCTCCATTTTTTTGGTCCTGTTTATGTCCTCAGCAGGTTTTGTGGTTGCCAACCATGTTGGAGAGAGCAGTCCACTTTACTCAGTCCAGCAAATCAAGTGCTGATCTGTTCCCAAACGCCCTTGGAGATGCCCCTTAAAGTGTTTAACCAGATAACCTGGTCATCTGGGGACCCAGTCAAATTGATGTCAAATTAACTATTATACCACTTATGTCAGTGCCATCACTGCCTGGCAAATCTGTTGATTTTATCCTTTTAGATTTGAATGGCTAAACCTGTATTGAAATATTCAATATTAATTGGAAATCTATGTGTCCATCATCTCATCTTTGTAACAGTTTTTGCCAGGTGCCTGATTTTAACCTTTCTCATCTTTTGTTGAGGAATAAGAAAAATCTTGGGAAGCTTTTAATTTTTAATAGACTTTGGAAGAGTTTGCCATGATTCATCATTTATTTAAAGTGTCTAACTGAAGATAGAGTTCCCTTTCTTATTTTTAAAAAGCTCATACAGAAGAATATAAAGAAAGGAGCAATACCAGCGCAATACTTGTGAGAATTTTTCAGTTACCTTTACTTAATAAAACTATTTACCTGCTATTTATAGTAACATGAGAAGCATAAAAACTGCATTTTTATTATACTTTTCAGTGTATTTTTAATGAGACTGATTTTTATCCTTAATAAATTGCTTTGAGGTCTACCTTGGTAATCATGATAAATAAATATCTGCAAGAATCTCCACTTTTGTGCCATATTACTTTGAAACTCTTCCAGATTCTTTTACATGCCACTTTCATTGAGTGTTGTGTTCCAGAAACCAACCACAGCCTCTTTTCTACCAAATATCCCTCACATGTTTCACACCTTCCTCAGTAGTGGAATAGATATATAGAAACCTGCCTTATGTCATTCAGAAACAGCTGTCAGGGATGTGAGGATTATGTGTAAATGAATGTCCGTGGGTGGCTTTGTTGAGCTCTCGGCTGTTGAGAGGGAAAATACACTTCTATTTTCTTTAAGGCATTATTTTTGGAGCCTCTTTCTATGGTTCAGCTTTCACCTTAATCAATAATCTTGAATATGCATGTTCTTAAAATGTTACTCATGTTATTTCTCAACTCCAACTTCCTTCCATGTTTTATGATTGAATTTATGAAAGTTGAATGCTTACTATGATATCACCTTAACCATTTTCTTCACAGCCTAGCTTTATATAATGCTGTTGTATTCCTAGAGAGCTCTTCCAGCTTTTCACATCACTTTGTGCCTTATCCTGTCATGCTGGCATATAAGTCTACTGTCTTCAACTACCACATTTATTTTTCTCTTAATACCTCCATTCTTGACTCCTGCTTCTTTCCTCTTATATCCTTGTTGAATGCTGACAGTACTCATCATTTCCCAGCCTGTCCCCAAAACAAGATGATTTTTGCCTTTAAATATTTCTTTAATCCATCTACTTCCCTCATTGATATCACTCTAGTCCAAGCTTTCATCATTTCTCACCTAGCCTCAAATTTGATTGTATATATTATTCATGAATTAACTCTATGCATGAAAGGCCACCACAAAACACACCAAACACCGGAGTAAGGGAAAAGTTTTATTGTTGGGGGAGGGGAGGGCCCAAACAGGCTGGAGAGAGACCATGAAAAGAGAGGAACTGTGTGGGAAAGCGTGCCTTGTTTACACCCCTGCAGGGATGAGGGAGTGGGAGCAGTGAATCCCATTAGAGTAGGGGTGGAGTTGATGCTTTTGGTTGGGCCATTTGGTCACCTGACTCCTAGTAAGCCACACTGGATTGTGGAGAGGCTGAACTTATTGTACAAGATGGCACCTGAACCAGAGCCTAAGATGGTGTCTGGGGCTTGAGATGGTGCCTCAGATAAGGTGGCATCTATTCACTACCATTCCCCCTTTTGTTTTTTGCAAGGCAAGTGTTGTATGGGATTACATCTGCCCCCAAATTCCAGGAGGGGTAGAAGGATGATGATCTGTCTTCTAGAGCTACTTCCTGCTGGCATTGGGTGACGAGTTACTCTCTGCTGGCATGAGGTGATATCTCAAATTGTGATCTCCTGGGAGGGGACTGAGTATATCCCTGTGGTAGCATTTGGTTGACCACCTGGTTGGTGAAGGCTTTGGTGAAGGCCAATGGTCCTGGGTGTGGCATTAACCAAGTAATTTAACATTTTGTTTTACCCAGCCCAATTGATTAACATAATAAGAACCTTTTTCTCCCAGAAAGATTCAAGTTCCCCATTTTTTAATTGTTATAAGGTCCAAAGCCCGTCTGTTCTGTAGTACCATGCTTGTTATTGAGGTGATTTGGCTTTGGAGACCTCAGATGGCATCAGCTGAGGTCTCAGTGGACCTAGTGACCTCCTCTTGTAACTGTTGGAGTTGTTTTATAGTCAGTTGGTCAAGATAACATGGCCCAAAGCTGCTCTGAGATCACTACTAAGGAGAGACAGGCTACGAAGCTGATACCAGCCAAAACTGGGAGAAAGGCCACTTGTCTCCTGTGGATAGAGGGGTTTTTTTGTAGAAGAAATTCTGAATAATCATATCAATGTTAAGTGGGAGGAGAGGACCACTAATACACATGGGCCAGAAGTAGAGCCATTGATGTAGACATACAATGTGTACACACATATGACATAAAAGAACAGTAAAGCAGTTTTAGTAATAGTTTTTTATGATCTGTTTTGTTTTTTAATTACCAGCAATCAATTAGAATTTTTTTTCTGCTCTTAGTAAGCTGAATTAACCATTTTTTTTCCAAGTTGGTACCTGTGTACATTATTGGTTTTATCTGCTTACAAAAACTGTCCCGTGGTGTTGGATACAATGGAGGTCAGGGAAAAAGAAGTCCTTTGGAACCTAAGAGGACACATTTAAACACAGAACCAATAATGTTTTAACTTCCATGAGCAGTAAATCTGATATACAAAACTGGATGACAAAAGACTTCAAATAGCCACATTTACAATTATAAACTCATTAACCAACAAGAGGCACTTGTTACTCCACACAGTAATTTTTGAAAGCACCTGTAGGATTTTACAAAAGTTTTAGTTCTTTTAGGCCTCTGGGCTTTTTTTTTATTAAGATAACTATCACATCTGGTAATACAAGATCATTAGACTTTTTAGCTTTTGGATGTTAGTATTAGCATTTTATATCATCATAACTTAAAATTTAGCACCACTTCACATCTTGAAAGTTCTTGTAATATTATCCATATAACCTTAATAGTTGGTGTGTCTCCACAAGATGAGAGGTATAGCCTTTGACATTTTCAGGGGCCCAGCTGGAAATATCAAAGTTCAAAGAATTTGGAACTTTGATTTTTTTGAATGCCTGTCAAGGATGCTAAGAAGGCTTAAACTATCTGGTAGAAGCAGGAAACCTTAACATCTTGACATAATGTAGACCAGATTTGATCATTAATACAAAGTGATTACTCAGATGCAATGAATATATATTCAAACAAACCATAACTCTTTTAAAATTCAGTTGTTCCTTAACAATCAGAACTTAACAGACAATAGAGAACAAAATAGATTACTTCATCAGAACACAAAATCTGTGTCTCTTAGGTCATCCCAAAAATCAGAAATGAAATTAAATTTAGAGTTAGTACATGGAATCATATCCCATAATTTGGAACAATTTTAACAGAGTTGGAACTAGGGAAGAGAAAATAGCTTACTGGAGCTGTCTAGAAAACTGACAGAGTCACCAGTTAAAAATCAACAAAAAGAGATGCAATAGGTTTTAAACAGATTTTTAAGATGATTTCAAAATATTTACTAACATATATGTATTGCAAAAACCTCATTGTTTTAACAGGATCAGATTCCAACTATGTCAAGGAGAAATAGATTAATACATTTGTATCCAAAAATTTCTCTCTTTCATAACCTTCTGTGACTTCCACACACCTCTGCAACTTACTTAAAGCTTTCTGTCTTTTTCATTCCAGTGTAAACTAGTCATCTTACAAACCATGTCCTTTCTTTCTTGAGAAAGAAAACTCTTTCTTAACCATCCTTACTGTGAACACATTTCTATACTTGTGACCTTTTCCATCTGCTGATTTTCTTGGTTCACATTCTGAAATACCATTTAAAAATCTCCAAATTAAGACAACATTTTCTGGCCGGCACCGCGGCTCAATAGGCTAATCCTCCACCTAGCGGCGCCGGCACACCGGGTTCTAGTCCCGGTCGGGGCGCCGGATTCTTTCCCGGTTGCCCCTCTTCCAGGCCAGCCCTCTGCTGTGGCCCGGGAAGGCAGTGGAGGATGACCCAAGTACTTGGGCCCTGCACCCCATGGGAAGACCAGGAAAAGCACCTGGCTCCTGCCTTCGGATCAGCGCGGTGCGCCGGCCACAGCGCGCCAGCCGTGGTGGCCATTGGAGGGTGAACCAACGGCAAAAGGAAGACCTTTCTCTCTGTCTCTCTCTCTGTCCACTCTGCCTGTCAAAAAAAAAAAAAAAAGACAACATTTTCTGAATAAGATAACACATCAAATTTCAGTCTTAGTTACTCTCAAGCAATGTTGAACTATGTTTCATAGTTTATGAAAACATTTAACAAACCCCAAATAGTTTTTCTATAGAATATAAGGTGCTAAGGGTACCAGTGTTTACATTTAGACACATTTATCAGTTGTCTTTGTCGAATTTACATAATAATTACACCTAGATGACTAAAGATGCTATTATATTGTACCTCTATCTGAATTAACATCAAAATCATATTTATAGGGAACTCTTTTAGCTATAAATCAGTGACATTAAACCAGAGATACCCATTCATGTCAGAAACCTGTTAAACCAAGTTACAAAACTAGTTTAGCAAGTTATCGCTCACCATTATGTTAGGTTTAATGGGGGAGGGCATCTCTCATAGTATATGGACACCCTTCAAGAGATTCTTAAGGAGAATTGGATAAGTAATACAATAAGGGGCACTCATGGAAAAGGAGATATGGCTGGAAATACTAATTAACCCAGTGAGCCTGCTTATTTGAAGGGCTGGTAGTCTTGATCATTATTTCACATAGGTTGGGAGAGATAACTCTCAGGGTAATTTTAACATTGCTGGGTAGAAGGCTTTATGGAGTGACTCCGGGACTGGGCACAGAAGTGAGGGCTCGAGGGCTTGAAATGGTAATGGCAAGGAGGGGACAGAATGTTGGCTTAGCGGAATGGGGGAGGGCGAAGGTCAGAACAAAGACTGGGTTTGGGAAAAGGCAAAGGGAGCAAGAGCAAGAGTAGAAATCGGGAAAGAGTGGTTTTGAGATAGGGACAAACAGGAGACTTGGGATAAGGTAAGCGAAGGTACAGTGAGAGGCCAAGTAGAAACAGATGCCCCTCTTGGAATGTCTGGGCTCCTAGGAGGGGGAGATGTTGATGAGATAGTGAGAGCCAGGGCAGATGATGCAAGCACGGATGATGGGTTTTGAGGTGGGGGCTCATCTGTAGGGTCGAAAGTAGAAGAAAGGGGTTTTTGCCTTTTAGTGGGAGCTTTGGAAGTTAAGACAACCTGAGCTGGAGAACACAAGGTGTAGAGAGAAGGTTTAGAGTGGAGATAGGAAAAAGCCTGAATGTAGGGAATTTCCTTCCACTTTCCCAAACAGAAGTGGTAAAGATCCTGAATAATGTCAGAGTCAAACATGCCGTTAAGCAGCCATATGAACAGGTTCTTGAGATCATACATGGGCCACACCTGATTACAACGAAAGATGAGGTGATGGTGTTTGAGATCTGGAACCAAATTGAAAGGAACAAGATTGTTTAGGAGACAACTGAGGGGAGAGTTGAATGGAACATGGGACGAGGAAGCTTCCATAACAACCTGAGGGGTCGGACTGTCTGATAGCAGGGCATCCCGGGTATCTTGACAGTCCAATGAGGAGAGTAAGAAGCAGAGCAGAGGGTGGGGTCGTCACCCACACCCACTGTTACCCAAGGCTTAAAGCCGATGGAGGTTGTGGTGCCTGGTACCAGGACTTTGAGATGAAGCAAAGCGGGATCACAAACCATGGTAGGATTCCCTGTTCCCCATTTTACCTGAGGGTTTTGGAAGGCTGGTGTGTGGATGCAAATCACTGAGCATTCAGTGGTGAAGAATGAGGTCCAGGGGTGAGTGTTGTGGTCGGCATGAATCTAGGACCCCAAAGCAGTTCAGATCCCTGAGGAGGGCAAGGTCGATGGAAGAGCCTGGATCCAATTCATGGAAACAATGAAAGGCCACCATAAAATACAGCAAACACTGGAGTAAGGGAAAAGCTTTATTGTCCGGGGTGGGGAACACTATAGGCTGGAGGTAGAGAGTGAAAAAGAGGGAAAAGAGAGGGCCTGTGCAGGAAAGCAGGCCTAGTTATAGACTTGCAGGGGTGAGGGAGTGGGAGCAGTGAATCCCGTTAGAGTGGGAGTGGAGTTGATGCTTGTGGTTGTGCAGGTTGGTCACCTGATTCCTAGTAAGCCACACTGGATTGTGGAGAGGCTGAACTTACTATACAAGATGGCAACTGAGCCAGAACCTAAGATGGTTTCCAGGGCCTGAGGTGGCGCCTCTGATAAGGTGGCATCACTTCTCTAACAATGCATTTATCTCTGCTCATTTCTGTAGGACTCAAATGGTTCCTGGCTTTTATGTGAACAGCTTTTTATGTGGATCTAGGTTACTCCTTTAGATTAAAAAATTGTATTCTGAATACCGTGTAATTACTTTAAATACAATAAACATGGATTACATTTATTCAGTAACTTTGTCTATTTTTTTTAAAGATTTATTTATTTGAAAGTCAAAGTTACGCAGAGAGCGAAGGAGAGGCAGAAAGAGAGAGAGAAAGGTCTTCCATCCACTGGTTCACTCCCCAGTTGGCCGGAATGGCTGGAGCTGCGCCAATCTGAAGCCAGGAGCTTCTTCCGGGTCTCCCATGCAGGTGCAGGAACCCAAAGAGTTGGGCCATCTTCTACTGCTTTCCCAGGCCATAGCAGAGAACTGGATTGGAAGTGGACCAGTCAGGACTCGAACTGGTGCCCATATGGGATGCCAGCTGTTGCAGCCAATTGGGGAGTGAACTAGCAGATGAAAGATATCTCTCTCTCTCTCTCTCTCTCTCTCTCTCTCTCTTTCTGCCTCTCCTTTCTCTGTGTAACTCTGACTTTCAAATAAATAAATCTTAAAAAAAAAAAAAAAGGAAATGTATATGAAACAAATATAAAGCCTAAGCTCAATCCCTGGCCCATTATAGATAATAAGTCTAACTCTCTCCTCTTCATTATAATAATACCTTATGATTTTAGCTTTTATAACATCCTATGTAGTTGCAAACATAAGTCAATTAAATGCTGTTTTTCTGCCATTTAAAAATGACAAGTTGCTCTTATTATTTCTCTAAACTAGCAGTAATCAAGAGTAGGCTTTTACAGTAGAAGTTATTGCTTTTACTCATTTTGCTTTCTGTCTTTCAAGAGTAAACTTTCATTGAAGATTTCTACTTTTAGATCATGATCCAACCTCTGTCTCTCTCTGTTTCAGCTTTTTTTTTTTAATGGTGCTATCATATACATAACTAAAATTGCATTTAGTGCTCTCAATCAGCACCTGTATACTATAATAAATACCAATACACAGGACTTAGGAAACCTGATTACGTGAATTCCTGTGATTTTTTTTTCCTGTAACTACTTTTGCTTTCCCATTAATATAATAATTTTGTTTGGGCAATCATATTAGTGATCAGGCTGTCTCCTTCAGCCTTACTGGGTCAAATACAGGAAGCTAGAAGGCCAGTTTATTAATTTATTAGTTTATTAATGTAAAATGAGAAACACAAGTGTCAAGAAACTATATTTGAATACT